AAGTTCCCCTGTATATCGCGCATGCTGCATTAAAATGTGAAATTGCACTGAGGCACTGGCCATGCTTTTTTAAAATAGAGATAATATTCTAGTTTAGCATCGGTTGTTTTTTATATGAAGGCGATTTTATAATATTATGTGACAGAGAGGAAGTAGTACTGATTGATCACACAGTTTCCAATAATTAATTTGCGATAATTTAAGTAGTTCTACTGTCTGGATATCAGTCTTACCATTGGTCGAAAATTCGAAAATCCAAGTCATAAAAAAAATAATCCGGGTACTTCAATTCACAAAATTCTAATTGGAATTCTTCTGGTTTTCTCCAATGTTAGGGGTGATTGAAGATTGAAAATTGCAGATATAATCTGTGATAGTATGTGATGAAAAAGCCGGTTTAAACGTTACTTGTTGATTTTTGTGATCGAATTTAATTCACATAATTCCTTCATCCCTTGAAAATAGATAGCCATCACCTAATATAACACTACTCATCTGCAGTTTCGTGAAATTATTGAATAATCAGAATGCGATCGCCATTTTAATGATTTATTTCTGATTGATAAACTAACTAATGCCAAACAGGGTGTTTATCAGGTTATGAGATGAAATCAAATTGAATTACCAAAAATGTTTCTAGAAGATTCACTGCTTTCCTGGGGAAAGAAGAAATACCAGAACACCCTGTTTTGGTCCAATTCATAATTTATACACGAAACAAACTTTTACATGGTAGCTCAGGGTACACTCACTTCCATTACAATAGTCTTACAATAAATCAATAGTACTGCTGCAATTATTACTAACACCATCAAAACACCGTATATCGACTCAAAAACCTCATTGATGAGACACTCCTACTCAATAATAGCCACTTTTTAAACAGAATTTGTTTTTACAAAATAATGATCAGCTTTTCTACTTGGACGAAATACTTAGAATAGTCCTCAACATAAAGTTGCAAATGACTTCAACATCTCGAATTTTAGGAGTGCCTCATTTGTTAGATTTTGTGAAATTCTAAAACTAGATGAAACGGTATAATACAGGTTTTGTATGGTGTATTAGTATTATTTGCCATACCTTTTACAAAACCACTTGACGTTTTATACACTATAATGCCATTGTTGAATTTTTATATGGAATTTCAAAAGAATACAATAAACTGGAATAATTTACAGATATTCATCCAAGAAGGGTTTTTGGATATATTATACTTGAGAAATATTTCGAGAGCAAGAAAATGTTCAGTATGATATCTTCATTCCTTCTTGATTGAGAAAAATGTGGAGTGCCAACCTACCAAAAGCTAGTGATGTTAAGTTTTAGTATTTTATTGATAATATTATTACCAACCTAACCATTATATCGGCAAACACGCGAAAATTGTATTTTTGATTTTATTTCCTGAAATTCAATTTTATTTTTGTCTTAAATGACTTTACTATTATTTCGTTTCTAGATGGAGCTGTTTTTAAGTTTTGCTCGATATATTTGGTAAGGACATAGAACGAAAATTCAGTTAAAAATTATTTAATAAGAGTGAGATACATTTGGGACTGTATAGGAACCATGATTTTTAGAAAAATATGTTTGGTAATATAATATATTAGTCTATGTAATAATATCGACTGGAATATTATACATCTATGAAATATACCAGTTATAGAAAACATACAGGAATTTTATTTATAACTAATACTTGCATTCGCTAGTAATCCAGGTCAAAGATAAGTAAAAGAAACAATTTGGAGAGAAAATACAGCACAACCCCCGGATTTTGAATAGTGTATGGATGAGGCAATATCGAATTTACCTCGAAAATTCCACACCAAACATTTTCGATCAATTCAAAGCCTGTATTTTGTATCGTTACTATAGCAACTAAACAAATTTCTTGGAAATGTTCTCCTTCTCCTTGGGGGACAGAGCGTGAAATTACACCGGAAATTTTTTGACTTTTATAGGTTAAATGAAATTTACATTCAACTTCAGATTATGTCGAGTTCATTCTAGAAGTCAATAAATAAAAATCATTTATCAACAGTTTACCATATAATATTATGTAGGTATACTTGCACATGTTGTTACTATACGTTAGTTCTTACATTTCATCACAAACAACCATTATTTTCATATAAACACTATGATATTATACCTACTCTTCAGTTTTGATATGATGAATGACATACGTAAAGTTAACATACAATGTCAAAACCATCAAAAATTGTCATTATCCAAGTAATTTTTTAATAATATTTCAGTGTGAAATTTTCTTACCGAATACCACTCTAGCTTCAATTAATATCCTGGAATAATTGAAGCTCTCGTGATATTATAAGTGAAAATATTATTTTTATTAGAGTAGGATGTAGGATTCGAAGAGTATTCATCGTCATATTCAAATCGACACTAATGAAATTATCTGCTATTTCATTAGAATTTTTGTTTCATTTTATTGTATTCTGCAATTTGTTATTTGATTTTTGATAAATAAGCCTAGGAACACAGTTAGTAAGAATTATTCTTTCGTACTTATCTTTTCCACATAACTTCTAAATGGCTGAATCGATTAGGTAGAAACTTCATGAGGATTTTACATTTGGACGTGGTAGGTGGCGCTGCTGTCAGTATTTCAACTACTAAACGGCTTCTTCGATTGGGTTGGAATGTTTAATACTTGAAACAATAACAAAAAACTGAAGATACTGAGAGAATGAAAATAGGTACCTAAGGACTACAAATTTGAAAAAATTATGAAAAAATATGTACTGTAGATACGCGCATAGCTCAGAAGGACTGCAACAAAAATGTCTTATTTTTTCAAATGTTGAATGAACAAAGTCATATTTGAGATTAAAAATAGTGAATGCTTCACTTGTCAACAATTCTCGAATGAGGATCCAATAACTTGGTAGATTTCAATGCAAACAAAACACAAGCATGCCTTTTCTCTAGAAAAGTCGAACTCACTGAGCCCAACATAAGCTTGTCAGGAGTAACCATACCTTTGAAGACGTCCATTTCGATGCTTGGTATTACTATCAGCAATAACCTGTCTTGGGAAAATCATGAGAGATCAATTGCTAAAAGTGCATCCCAAAAACTTGGTTTACTGTTTCGGGCCAGGAGCAATTTCACTTCCAGTCAGCTGCTTATGATCTATAAGGCACAGATCCGACCTGTCCTGGAATACTGTTCCCATAATTGGAGTGCAGCACCGAAACATACCCTGAAACTGTTGGATTCTGACCAAAAAAAGGCAATTCGTCTCGTGGGTGATGCCTCGCTCACAAACTCACTCACTTCTCTGGAACACCGTTAAAAAGTTGGCGATCTGACTCTATTTATAGATATTTTCATGGACGATGCTCTCCTGAAATATCAACAATTGTACCTCCCTTGGCAGTCCCCGCGAGATTAACCCGTCGAGTTGAGGTTTCGCACCCCTTTGTGGTCACTTTGGAGACCTGCATACCATCTCTTTCCAAAGACTCGTTCATCCAACGAACAGCGAGGCTCTGGAACACATTGCCAAGGGAGGTGTTCCAAGAGGCCCAGAAATTTAAGAAGAACGCCAATTCCTACCATATTTCCCTTGGTTCTCACGATGTTCTCTGAACATTACAGGATATCCCTTTTCGTGGGAACCAGAACATAAAAAAAACTTCACCGGTTTGTGAAAGAAAAAATGTTCAGAGGAGCTCAAAACAGCGAAGCAGAAACGTGAGAAATATTCTCCACGGAATAAAGTGTCACTTGTGATTCAATCAACTGCCAACATCGTCCATCTTGAGTAGGTAACTGCCCAGTTGCACTACTCTCCGTTGACTATTGAAAAATTCATAATTAATATATGGTGAAAATCCATGGTATCTCAAAATGGAGTGAATAGATTCATAAACAAGACACACTAAGTCATCTGCACAAATTTATCAACTGAATAATCAGTGTCTGAACATGTTTCAAACTATCAATAGTCCATCATCAGCAGAAGCAAAGATCTTCAATCAATTGGATGAACAAGTGTTGGGATCCTCCATAAAATCCCCTTTGGGCCAATGTAAATTGTACTATTTAATTTTATTGTTGCCTTCTCTTTTTTCACTTCCACAAATTGTCATTCAAAATATGCTTCTGCTGATGATGTACTATTGATAGTCCGAAACAAGTTGTGGAGATGACTTCCCTAACAACACCAGTAGTTCCCAGGGACTTCCCAGGGACGTCCCTTATTTTATATTAGGACATCCCAGGGATGTCCTAGGTCGGGACAACGTACATACTAGGGATGTCCCAGGGACATCCGCTGGCCGCCAAAAAAGGCATACAAGGGATGTCCTCCTGGTACGTCCCTGGGATGTACCAAGTACGAAGAAAGGATATCTCTAGAACGTCTCAGGTACATCCCTTGGTCAAAAGAAAAAAAAATGTAGGTCGAGTAAGGATTGAACCCAGGATCTTTAGATTATCAGGCACGCACCTTACTCCATTGGCTATTATACCTCCTGAAGATTCATGTACTGAACAGATTTATAAACAGGCCTTGACTACAGGAACCTGAATAAATACAACTTTGTTAGGGTTTGGGTATGATAATTATCATTCTTGGGTGTCTAAAAATGAGGGGCATTATGCATGTACGATTTCTGTTTGCGAAAAATTGTCATTTCTCAAGAAGTTCTGAGACTTTATTCTTTATTTTCATTACAATTATTTTCCGGAAGAGAAACAAACATTTTCAAAAAAATTAAACTCAATAGTTCGATGAAATTCAAAAACTCTGATGCGCATAGATATCAGATATTCCAGGGACACGAATAGGATAACCTAGGGATGTACCGGACGGGATGTCCACTTGACAACCACTGCGGGACATCCCCTGGATGCCCCAATCATGTCCTTGTACCGCGGGACAAACAAGGGACGTACCTAGGATATCCCTGTGTTGTTAGGATTAGTGTGTCTTGTTTATGAAATTGATAATTGTTTTCTTGCAGTCCGGCGGCATGGAGGTGGACCACCCTCATCACAACCCCCACCCCCGCCCTCCCAGCTGTGTCGGATCCCCCACTCCCGACCGTCCTTCGAGCACTCAGAGCAGCCGATGCAGCACGCCCTTCGCAATGCCACCCTTCTCTGCATTGCCTGCCGCCCTTTTAGAGGTGGGACTCATCCACCCCTCGCTACTAGCAGACGACGTCTTCAGGTGAGAGTTTTGTTGTATTTAGTACGGTTGTTGTGCTTGTCTAGTACGTTTCTGATATATTTTTAAAGAAATTCTAGTACTTTTCTAATACTGTTCGAGTGCATTTTTAGTGCTCTTCTCTAGTACATTTCTAATACTGTTCTAGTACTCTTCTAGTTTTATTCTAGTACGGTTCTGGTGTAGTTCTAGTACAATTCCAGTAAAAATGGAATTTATTTTAGCGTTACATTAATTCAACAGCCGGGGCCTATCAGAGAATAGGAAAATAACAAGTTTGGATCAAAATGGATATTATATGAAAAAATAAAACGGAAGGAAATATGCATATAAAAATAAAGTGAATGACACACTGCGTGAAAATGTGTATAAACTGAAAAATACTACGACTAGTTCATACACAGCGTTGCAAACCGTATTAAGACACGTCAACAACAACAAAACTTTTTTTGATAGAGTAACCCTTTTTTATGAGAAATATCTATTCTATAAAGTGCAGGTCTGGAACGATTCTAGCACTATCCTAGTATAGTACCAGTACTATTCTCGAGAATAAAAATTTCCATATTCCCACCTAGGACTTCAGTACGATATAGTCACCTAGTCATCTTCGAACGGCCGAAAGTGCCAGAAAACGGCGGAAATCCTCGCGAATTATCGCTTTCCCAATAGAAAATGACACGCTGAATCGAATGAGACTATAATCAGCCCGATAGGACAGATAGTTTTAGAGATATCGACGCTCAAAGTCAACTTTTCGCTTTTATTGCCAATAGAAGCACTCCGGTAGGCTACTACGTCTCTATTTTTCAAAATTTCCCGATTTCCACCACGGATTCGCTCATTTCGACATTGAATTAGTCTATGTGAATTTTTTCAGATTTTCAATAGGCCAAATAAAAATTTTCATTTTCACACCTAAGACTTCAGAACGATATAGTCACCTAGCCATCTTCGGACGGCCGAAAGTGCCAGAAAACGGCAGAAATTCACGCGGATTATTGCTTTTCCAGTAGAAAATGACACGCTGAATCGAATGAGACCATAATCAGCTCCATAGGACAGATAGTTTATGAGATATCGACGTTCAAAGTTAGTTTTTCACTTTTATTGCCAATAGGAGCACTCCGGTAGGCTACTACGTCTCCATTTCCCAAAATTTCATAATTTCCACTACTGACCACCACAGATTCATTCATTTCGACATCGAATTAGTCTACGTGCATTTTTTTAGATTTTCAATAGGCCAAAAAAAATTTTCATTTTCCCACCTAAGACTTCAGTACGATATAGTCACCGAGCCATCTTCGGACGGCCGAAAGTGCCAGAAAACGACGACAATTCGCGAAGATTATTGCTTTTACAGTAGAAAAAGACACGCTGAATCAAATGAGACTATAATCAACCCCATAGGACAGATAGTTTTTGAGATATCGGCGCTCAAAGTCAGCTTTTCGCTCTCATTGCCAATAGGAGCAGTCCGAGAGGCTACTACGTCTCCATTTTCCAAAATACTTCAATTTCCACCACAGATTCGTTCAAAACGACATTGAATTAGTCCATGTGAATTTTTCCAGATTTTTTATAGACCAAATAAACATTTTCCTTTCCCACCTAAGACTTCAGTACGATATAGTCACCGAGACATCTTCGGACGACCGAAAGTGCCAGAAAACGGCGAAAATCCACGCAAATTATTCTTTTCCAGTTGAAAATGACACGCTGAATCGAATGAGACTATAATCAGCCCCATTGGACATATCGTTTTCGAGATATCGGCGCTCAAAGTCAGCTTTTTGCTTTTAGCGAATAGGGGCACTTTGGTAGGCTACTTCGTTTTCATTGTCCATAATTTTTTGATTCTTGAAGTTTCTCATCAAATATGTGAATCGTAAAACAATGTTCCACCAAAATTCAGTGCATCTTCCTTGAATTTTATGCTTACTAGCACAAATTGATATTCTGAAACGATAATACTGTTCATTCAGGTGTTCGTCTTGCATGGCCGCCTTTCCGTCTCTGTGGTTGCTGGAGCAACACGCTGCCCTGCAGCACGTGGGGGGAAGTGGGGCGATCGCCGTGTCCTCGCTCGATAAGCCTTTCGTGTGCGAGCAGTGCGGACAAAGCTACAGGTCGGTACCCTTATTTTCATTATTATTCAAATAACATTCATGCACTAGCGAGCCGTAAAGTGCACTTTACCGCCCGGTTTTGCAGGCGTTAAGTTGCCTTTTACCGCCCGCGGGCTCATTATGGCCCATGGGCCGTAAAGTGCACCTCACTGCCCGCTGTTCTCCGTTTTCTTGTATCCACATATCAATTCATGGAAAACATATGATCATTTTCCCAGATTCTTATATTTCCAGCGGTACATCATAAACTTCTTTATCCGATTCCATAGTCTCGCTATTATTATTATCACAAATTTTTACTTTTTGGTCAATGGATCAAAATTCAGCTTGTTTAATAGATGTATTGCTATAGACATCAACCATCAGTTTGCTTGACAACGTCAAAATTAGGTAGGTATATAAATATACTGGGTATTGTAAAATTCTGAAGAATGAATCTCTTCTAGAGATCAAAGAGTTTTACTATCTGCCTTCAATAGATATAATTCAATGTTCGTCGTGGCCGAGAAAGAATTGATATTATAGAAAATGCGAATGCTCAATGTATTTCTTCATAAATATCCATTTTTTCATGTTCATAATTTATCTGAATATGAAAAGTGACATTTTATAACCTGTCAACAGAGACGAAATGTCAAACTTTTTTCTCGTCACAGAATAGTAGTTTACGTAACAATTTGGGAAAATACTGTTTTTTTTTTTTGGAAGAGTAGACAAAATGCTAGGCCGAGCCGTAGGCGAGTCCTGGAAGTCTACGAGTCGAAAAAAAAAACCGTTTTCCGACGTGTTGCCAGCACTATTTTTCCGGCAACCATGTAGAATAACAAACCAATGAGACACATATCCATATTATATTTCTTTGTAGAATACAATTTCTTCTTCATTAATTCTCATGTGTATCAAATACTGAAATTTGAACAGAATACCCATACCTACTAACTTACATTGGAAATTTCGTATGGACATTGTCAAACTCACTATCGCAGCAGCTTTCGATAGTTTATTACGATAATTGCAACCAAACTCTCAAAAATCAAAATGTCAACTAAATTCATGGCAAATAGTTGCGTCAGCCGATATTTCGTTGCTATGAAAATTATCATCTGCATTTATCAGAACCATATCTACCAATATTTTCATAGCTACAGTAACAACAACGATGCCACTTTCCCAAAGAAAAAGCGTCCGGGCAGTAAGTACTTCCCGGACGATTGCCGAAAAACAGATGGGTGAAGAGGTAATAATAATAATAATAATAATAATAATAATAATAATAATAATAATAATAATAATAATAATAATAATAATAATAATAATAATAATAATACCGTAGCCGTGTCATGGGTATGGAGGTCCCTGACACAACTTGCAGGGCCTGCCGCAGGGCGCCCGAGACAATTATGCACCTGCTGTCTTCTTGCACGGTGTATGCAGTCTCGGCCTATATCCATAGACACAATGCGGCATTGCGAGTGCTCTACTACTATTTGAGGCACTCGTACGGAATAGACGAGACCCCAGTGCTGCCCTATGCTCCGGGAGATATTGAGTCCGTTGTGGAGAATGAGAGGTGCCGAATTTATTGGAACTTCTCATTCCCCACCCTCAGGCAAATACAAGCTAACAAGCCTGATGTAGTCCTCCTCGACCATCAAACCAAAGCGATGTTCGTGATCGAGTTTTCGGCGCCAGCCGAACCGAACATCGTTTTGAAGGAGGAGGAAAAACGGACTAAATATCGAGATCTTCTCTTCGAACTCTGCCGGCTCTATCCAGACCATTCTGTGGAATTGGTCATCCTGATTATCGGCTCCCTAGGAGGCACACGACACACGCTGCTCTCGGAGATCCAGAAAATCCCAGCGTGCTGTGATAAGGCACACATCCTGGCTGGTGGAATGCAGAAGGCCGTCATACTGGGATCATTGCGTCTACTCAGGGCACACGGTACTTGGTCCCAGTGATTACTCACCTCACAGGCTGTGAGGAGTAGTCACTGGATTTTATCCAGCACAACTCTGCGTGACGTCGGAGGCCGCAGGGTCGTGACTGGAATTACATAAATTAAATAATAATAATAATAATATGCTTTTATTGTCTGAAGAAGAATCTTGTTGACAAAGCTAGGTCAGATAATATTGTAGAAAGAGGTTAACATATAACGACATAAATATACGTCACAAAATATAGTCAAAATGAATACCACATTAAAATACTAAAATATCACTACTCAAACTTATCACTATTATATTCCTGCAAACTGTTATAGGGTCTATCAGAGAGGAACTTTTTGACTTTTTTCCTGAATTGACAGTCATTCAGACTTGCTGATCTAATATCAACTGGCAAGTGGTTGTACATTTTTCCACCATTATAGTATATGGAATCTTTAATAAATTCTCTTGTGGGTAGAGGAAGTTTCAAACTGAAATTTCTGTTACGCGTGTTATGATGGATGGGAGTTGTAGTGAATTTTAATTTGTGCTTATTTATCAGGCAAACAGATTCCAGAATGAATAGTGGAATCACTGTCAATATTTTATTATTGGAAAATAAAATTCTGTAAGAATCTCGAGGTTTGACATTACACAAATACCTTATCGCTCGTTTCTGTAGGTAGACCTCAGTTCAGATCCTCTACTATTAGGAATATATAATAGAGTTGATTGATCGATTGATTGATTGATTCCAGATACCGATCAGCGTACGTGAAACACCGTGAACAGAACCACAGAGCCCGTCTGCCGGCAGACAAACTCTTCTCATGTGACGTATGCGGCATGCAATTCCGTTACTTGAAATCCTTCAAGAAGCACCGACTCAACCACACGTTGGAGAAGCTGCACGAGAAAAATGGAGACGGTTCGGCAG